TATCACCTTGTCCTAGATCCTATCTCTTCCCATACCATGCAATGTTGTTAAACATGAGTATTGGGCTTCTACCTGACTGTTTGGAGGAATGAATTTTTCACAGTGAATTGCCACAAGCGTGTGACTTCTGGTATAGAGATAGTAGGAACTGCAGATGCTGGAGAATCCGAGACAACAAGGTGCAGGGCTGGATGAACACAGCAGGCCAAGCAGCATCATAGGAGCAGAGAGGCTGGTATAGTTACTTTTGGCTTAACGGCTGAAGCCACTAAAAAACAAGAAACATCATGTCAGAAGTGTGCAGCTGAAATTGTGTGAATTTTAATAGCTGTAAGAAAAACAGCATGGAATACTTAGACTGTAGTCTGCAACTTTGTATTACTAGGTATTTCAGGATGTTTTTGCATTTTCAAGTCCCTGCTCCTGTAAAAATAAAAAGCAATGTGAGACAGAATTGGAACTTCTTCTCGTTAGTGAAAATTAAGAAATAAAATTAAGAGTTAAAAATGAAAATGGAACAAATTAGAGCAGCAACTCTGTTCTCATTCCGGGGAAACAGTGTCATAAGCCGTGTTGCACACTAGACCTCGCTAAGGAGCAGAAAAGCCAGACTGTAGAAATTTTGGAAGGCCTTGAAGACCCATTTTAACCCTCTAATGTCATTTCTAATGGTTTGCATTTAATATCAGAACTCAGGAAGAGAGGAAAAGTATTGTTCAGTATATGGCTGCATTAAGTTGTTTAGTTGAATCTTGTGTGTCTGCTTTACTGAAAAATGATCTCGTCAGAGCTAGGATTGTCTTAGAAAGAGATCCTTTTGTGACAGTGCATCTAATGAGAGAAGAAAAACATACTCTCAAGGAAGCTATTAATTTGTACACAGTCTCTGAGGTTGTCAATTATCAGCTAGAGATTATAAATGGAGGACCAGATGAGATGGTGCATTATGCAGAGACAGTATGGTTTAACAAGAACAATGCAATAGGTAACAGTAAGAAATATTTCCAGAAGGGCCAGCAGAAAGATCAAGTGCACAGAATGTAAATATTGTGGAATGCACTTTGTGATAGAAAAAAGATACAGAATGACTTCACACTCAAGAATTTTGATGGCAGGAGATTAGAGAGTTAGACACTAATTCCAGATAATTACTCTACGCAATACAACATGCTTGTATCATCAGATCTAAAGGTGATAGCCTGTGACTAATTACTATAATAAAGAGAGTATCATGTGAATATGAAATGTCAAATATACATTTCTGTATGTAAAATCAGAAGTTTCACAAACCCATGTGGACTGGCTCAAGGCAGTAACCCAAACTGAAGCCATCAAAGATTGATGGTGGAACATCTCACAAGGACAACCAGAACCAAGAGCCTAATGCACTGGGAAGAACAAACATGTACATGTCCAGATGGTAAACATTAAGCAAGTTTCAGATCTCTGCTGAAACAAGCCTAAAGCTTCTGCTGGTAATTTTAAAGGTACCAGCAAAGATTTGCAGCATTTCAAAAGGCAGCGCATCATTGCTTGCTGAACAAATTCAAAAAGATTACAAAATGCTTTTACAGGCCTTGGCTGTCTTCCTGTTATGTACCATCTCCAAGTAGCTGTGAGTATGACAGTAACACAGCATCTGACAAGCAGAGATCCAGCAGTGCTTATGTCCAGCCTGAAACACAAGGTAAGAGAGCTGGAAGGGAAAGGTGTAATCAAGAAAGTGAGAACTCCTACGTGTTGGAGTAACAGCATGGTAGAAGTGAACAAACCTGGAAACCTGAAACCTGGTAAGCATAGATCCAAAGGATCTCAATAAAGCATTGAAGTGATCTCATTGCCTCAAGCCAACTACTGAAGACATTTTGCCAAGCAAAGGTCTTTGCTACCTCTGTAAAGGATGGTTATTGGTATGAAGTAAGATGAGTGCAGCAGTTTTCTGACTACATTCTGGATGTCATTTGGTTTGACTTGGGCTAACATGAATTACATCAGTTAAACAACTTAAATGTAAGGAGCACTTTCATTTCTGAATTTTTTAAAATGACATGAACAGCTAATATAAGGGCCGCTAGGTTCCCAGATGCTGCACTGGGGTATATATACGTGGGCCCCAGGGAGAGCGAGATCTTCTCTCTGTTAAGCTGGAAGGAGGGGACGATGAGGGTTCTTAAAAGAGGTCACCGTGAAGGCAGTAGCTACTGGTTGTGGCAAAGGAAGTCAATGCCAACAACATTGCATGCTGAACTTGGCCACAACTCCTGTGCATCTCAGTGGCACACAGTGGATGACACTGATTTTTCTGAATCCATTTTGCATTCAATAAATGAAAAACAAGAAATACTTTCATGCTTTCAAATTTTACTTGCAGATTATTTCATTTTTTCTACCCTAACTTATTAGCCATTCCACCTCTGTTGTTTTTTTAAATATATTTTAACTCTGAGTCCACTTAGATCTATTTGACATAATTCTGTCGCTTCTACAATTTCTAACTAAAATAAAAACATTTAGTATAAGAATATTTTTTAAAGTTGGTTTTCTTGCTATTTGAAAATCAAAACTTTAAAGGTTGATGCATAGCATCATTGGCACAGTGATTAAAGGCATTGATTATATCATTCGGCTTGTTGGTAGACATCAGTGCAAAAAAATAAACTTGTCTACAATAATGAGTGTTCAGCGAAATCTACACAGTTTCCATAAGCTCCTCTTACACAACAAGAATGCTGCAGTGAGAATATTACAGCAAAACTATCAGCTGACAAGGTAGTTTAGTAGATGTCTGTCAACAACATTACCCTAATGAGCACTCACTATTTTGTTTCATTTAAATAAATTGAGCTTCATATTACAAAATGGGAAGAAAAAAAGTCAATAGTTATATGAAGTGGGCTAATTGACTGTCAGCCTATATTGACTATTGGCATGACAGTTTCAATCCTGCTGTCTCACAAATATTTAACTTATACTAGAACTGCACCTGACTTAAGTTCAGCCTGTGAAAGAAAGGACTGAGTTACTTGCAAAGCCTGTTAAACCATCAAGAGGGTGCTTTCACAACTGTGATTGTCCACAGTCTTTCAAACATCAGCCTTGCCTGATTTAAGTAGAAAAATCTTCTCAGCAATGCAACTAAGAGAAGTTGTTATGAGCAGTCTCAGGCAGGAAAATCTTTTGCTTCCAAACTTTTGTTGTGGAGCTTTTATCATGGAGTTGACTTGGGGCAATCTCGTAGGTATCCTTAGGATGGATGCAGAAGATAAGACGGGAGGAAGAGAGAATGTCTAGGGGTAGATCATACTAAAGGAGAACGTAAATAAGAAAGTACCTTTCCACAAAGCTATCCACATCTCTCCACTCCTCAATGATGTTACAAAGATATCTGCTTGAGCAGCAATTTGTTCAGTAAAGAGAAGTAGAAGGCATTTGCTCCATGTTGCAAATTGCCTCTACGAATCCTATACAGAACAGAAAACAAGAATCATCCTCCTTCAGAACATTATACTTCATTATAAAACAATGATTCTCTTTGCATATATTTTCACTTTTTTTTAATCATTTTTCCCAACTGTTGTCACTCCATGACTATCCTAAACTGCTCCAGGAGGCCTGGGGTGCCAATGGTCCCTATGCACTCTGGTATCATTGGTATAAATATTCAGCAGGCTGAATATATGGGAGCAATCAGGTCCATTACCTTACCACCGACAAAAGGCAGCTGATGATGCTGTTGGTTTACCAAATATCATGCAATGTCAACAAGACAGAGGGTTGTTTAAGTAAGGCAGATCCTCACTTGTGCTGGCTTCTGTCTCTGTGTACTAACTGATGCATAGAGGGATAGATATGATGGCACTATATCTGTTAAGATTTTCACACCCTGAAGTATCAACACAGGAACAAAACTTAAATCTCACTAAACTGATACACAAATGGATATCTGTTATTCTAAGGGTTTTGCAATTGGTCTTTTGAAATCACTGTTATTTGATAGGTACAAGAATCAAAGAATCAAATATTGCTTTAGGCTCCTGATACATTTCTGGAACAACCATCAAGGCAAACCAGATTTTAAGCATGAATTTAAAAGCTGCTTACAACAGTTGGAGGTGGGGCTGGGAGTTTGGTACGGAGTGTCCCCGGGAGAACACATCTTCTCAAATTAACAAAGTAGGATAGGAATGCCAAATGGTGAATGCCATCTATGTACATTTACTTCAGTGTCAGGTAAGATTTCAAGGCCATGATTTCATTATCTTTTATCTGGATGATATTGCAAAACATGCCAATATGTACAACAATATCTACATGTCTCTGAGCTCATTTTTACAGATGCAAATCAAAAGGCAGGCAGCAATAGCAGCAATAAAAAGGGTGGCGCACAAATTTCATGCCTGAAGTAACATCTCTGATATACTGATATACAGAAGTGTCTCTGTTTTCAGCCCGGGCTTTCTCAGGGGTAAAATTGGATTTGTGGATCACAACAAGCAAACTTGCATTAGCACCAGTGTAGAAAATCCTCTCCATTTTTATCTAATAGTCCCTCTTTATCTAAATTCCAATGAAACAGTCATATTTGCTGTGCTTGCATATAACAGCTTACTTTTAATATAGCGTTACTGTCACCTTACAGTCTTGTATTGTAAGCCTTTTATTTTTACTCTATTGTGAGAAGATGGGAGTGGCTGAAATGACTCATGAGTATCATTAGACAGCAGGTTTAATCTTTACAGTGGACTGAGTGCTTGTGAGTTCTGGCTCTGTTTGAATCTGTACGATTCGATGATTAATCAGACAACAGAGTTAATGTTTGTTTGCTACCTTTGGGCAGTACTTCTTCAAGATATGACTACATATTTTAGTTACTCCTCTTCCTTTCCTGCAATCTCAAAGGAAAGATGTCTTTCATCTAGAGAATTGTGAAGAGTTACTTTTTTGTGAGCAGTTAACTCAATAAGTTTTTTTATAAGTTCCAGTCCTTGTGATTATCTTTGATTAAATGTTTGCTGCGCGTCCTCCTGAAGGAGTTGCTTATAAACGTGTACAATTGTACAGCTGGGTCTGAATTGCTATGTCTTCTGAGAAAGAAGTCCACGGGCTAAATAATTATGGATATATTGTAAGTATCAATTCTTTTCTGAAATAATGTGTTTTTCGTTATATTGTTAATATGATGATGTTCCAGTAAATATTAGTGAAAAGTAACAAGAATCCTTCTGTTAACTGTTGAAATATGTAACTGTGGCTCATTCATACTCCTGAAGTTAGTGGCTAATTTTTTGTGCTCTTCGTCCAACTTTCTTTTTATGTTAACATAGGAATCCATTCATTTCAGTATATTCTCCTTGACACTTTCTCAATTTGCCTGCCCCTTATGTACTAAACATGCTTAAGAAATCAGGACGATTTTCTGCCCGGTACAAAACCTTCAATCTTCCACCCCAATTTCCAATAAACCTACAAAATAAGATGGTGAATACTCAAAGCTAAACCCAACCATGAGGACATTGTTCACATACCAGTAGTCAAGTCATAGGCCTTGTTTAATGTTGTCTTGAAGCTACAAATACACAAAAGGAGCTTGTTCTCTCTCCAATGTTCAATGTTTAGGGAAGATTTAAACCAGAAATAAATGCAGTACTTATCAAAAGGCTTTTATTTTGTAATCGTGAAGATGCTCAGAAAGGATCACTTCTCAAATTTCTGGTTAGGAAGTTCTTTCTGTGTCATTAAGGGGCCCTAACCCTAACCTAAACCGAACCCTAATCCTGCATTTTCTTTTCAAATACCTAGTGTGTAGTGATTGTAACAAGGTTAGCCAGGTTGACCTCATAGAATATGAGTTCCCTGATTAGCGCTGTTAATCTAGTTCAATTAGGGAGTCCTGGAGTGTCAGACATAGTGTTCAATCTGAGAGCTGGCTCAGTTTCAAGGACTCTCCACATGTAAATAAAGGGTGACTTGGTGATGGGATATTGTCCTCTGTGGAGTTATTTCAGCGGCAACAAGAGAAAACCATGCTTCTGAAGAAATGCACTCGTAACCGTCATCTTTGAGTTGAAGTAAGCAATTCTAGCATCATACCATTATTTGGGAAGCTTGACTCATTCAATCCTGCCGTCAAAGACTGGCACCCTGTATGTAGAAAGAATGCGTTATTTTTTTCTGGGCAAATGACATCAAGCCAATGAAAAGGAACAAGTAATTCTCCTGACAGCTTGTGGACCTGCAGCTTTTTTGGTTATTAGGAGCCTCACTTTCCCTGAGAAGTTAGAAATCAGAAACTAAAACTTCCAAGAATTGACAGATTTAGTTATGGAATGTTACAACCAAAAGCATCCTCTAATTCTGAGACACTATTGGTTTTACTCAGCAATTCAAGAATAGGTTAACACAACTGGCTGAGCCATGTGACTTTGGTTTAACCCCCTTCATGAGATACTGAGAGACCATTTGGTATGTGGGATTAATGATATAACCATGAAAAAGCACCTAATAGCTGAAGACCAACTGGACTTCAAACAGGCACTACAGCTGGCTTTATCATTGGAAAATACAACAAGTGGAGCATATGAGTTGCATATGAGATGGAAGTGGATACACTCGCCAGGGTGACTGAGCTTGGATAATTGCACAGCCTCACTCAAGACATATCCTGAACAGAGGGACTCTGGGTCAGCCCACAGCAAAACCCCAAAGCAAAGCCAAGCCTCGGCCAAATGGCAAGCCATTGTAGTTGCTGCTGGTATGTAGACTCAAGACAGCATAAGAGTCCCATTCGACCTAAATGGAGTAAGAGAACTCACAGGCTGGTATCCAGGAGAGTGCACACCCTGGAAAGCCCACCTACATTTGGTTTAGAACAGTTAAATTGCTTAGAAACATCCAAATCAGAACCAATCAAAATAAACATCTGATTAAATGGTCACCTGGTTCCAATGAAGGTCAATACTGGTACAACCATTTCAATGATTGCAGAATCAGTCTTCAACAAAATTCACACCAAGCTCCAACCCTTAAGTTCGCACAACACCTGAGCTACACTGAGAACCTACATCAGAGAAGCCAGTTCTGAGGAAGGGTCACCGGACCCAAACGTTAACTCTGTTTTTTTCTTTCACAGATGCTGCCAGACCTGCTGAGCTTTTCCAGCAACTTTGTTTTTGTTCAGAGAAACTTTACAGATTAAGGGTACAACTTTGGCTCTGGTCTCTTATGAGAAGTAGCTGGCTCAGTTATCGCTGATTGTAGTAAAAGGCTTGGTCCCAAGCTTGTTGGGGTGAAATTGGTTGAAAAAGATTCACCTGGATTGGCTCAACATTTTTCGATTAGGAAATGGCTGTCTGAGTGAAGTCCTAGTTAAAAACCCAGACATTTTCAGGAAGGTCTAGGGACTATTACTGGAGCCAAGGCCACCTTGCATGTTGACCAGGAAGCAATTCCACAATTCTGCAAGGCCCGCTCAGCGTCATTTGCCTTGTGGGCAAAAGTAGGGACAGAAATCGGAGGCTGGAAAGTGAAGGAATAATCAAACCAGTCCAGTTTGCAGAATGGGCAGCACTGTTTGTACTGATTGTGAAGCCTGATGGATCGGTTTGCTTTTGTGGGCATGTTAAACAAACAGTAAACCAATACCCAATCCCTCATATAGAGGATTTATATGCAAAGCTGGCAGTGGGGCTATCCTTCACAAAGCTGGACATGAGCCATGTGTACTTGTAATTGCGGTTGATGAGAATTCCCAGACGTACGTTACAATTAATACCTATAAGAGTTTGTACCAACATACAAGGCTGCCATTTGGGGTATTGTCAGCCTGTGCAATTTTTCAGCAGATGATGGAGAACATTATAAAAGGTCTACCCCTCATCGCCATTTATCTAGATGTTATGCTAGTAACAGGGAAGACCATTAAGGAGGGCTTAGAGAACCTGGCCATAGTCCTTAGACATTTCTCCCAGGTGGGTGGATGCCTCAGAAGGAAAAATGTGACCTACTTGGGCTACAGAGTTGATAAGACTGGATCGCACCAGTTGGAAGATAAAATGAGGGCGATCAAAGACGCCCCAACTCCCATGTCTGTACTGGACCTTAGGTCTTTCCTTGGGCTGGTGAATTATTACGGAAAGCTCATACAAAACCATGGCCTCCATCCTGGCACCTTTGCATCAACCCTTGGAAATGGTCACAAAGCCAAGCCATAGCTTTCAGGGAAGTGAAGAAACAGCTATCATCCTCTAAGGTGTTAGCACACTATGATCCCAAGTGAGATCGGGTATTGACATGCGATGCCTCCCCATACGGTATCAGGGTAGTGTTAGCTCATAGTTGGCCCAATGGAGAGGAACACACAATTACGTATGCATCTGGGACTTTAGCTAATGCAGAGCATAAACACGCACAGATAGAGAACGAAGGTTTGGTGGTCATTTTGGAGTCAGGCAGTTCCACCAATACCTTTATGGGTGTAAATTTGTAATCATAATGGACCACAAACACCTGCTAGGTCTGCTTAAAGAGGACAAGGCAGTTCCACCCATAGCTTTAGGCCGAATTCAGCATTGGGCTCTAATACTATGTAAGTATAATTACAAGTTGGAACGACATCTGGGAGGCCAAGTAGCAAATGAGGATGCATTGAGCACTGACAGATACATCACTGGTGCCATACGCCACTGAAACAGTCCGTAATGTGTTTTAAGTTTTCTGGTCACAGCTCCAATCACACCTGATAATATCAGACTTTGGACACAGAAAGATCCGATCCTGGGAAAACTGAAACAGCTGGTGGTGATGGGGGAACCAAAGGGCCATCACAACCAGAACTGAAACCTTTTTGGACCCAGAGAGACCAGATCACAGCAGAGGATGGCATATTATTCCAGGCAGTGAAAGTAATTACCTTGAACAAAAGTCGCTGCCAGATACTGGCTGAACTCCACCCGGGTCATTCAGGGCTTTCACAAATGAAGATGTTGGTGAGAAGTTATGTCTGGTGGCCAGGATTGGATGCTAACATAGCTGTAGGTGGGGCAATACCTAGAGTGCAAACAAGAACAAAAATTACTGCAAGCAGATCTACTACAATCATGGGAATGGCCAGGTAAATCCTGGACATGGTTACACATTGACTATGCAGGTCCTTTCATAAGCTCAAAGTTCTTAGTTATTGTGGATGCCCACTCAAAGTGGCTGGACGTGCATAGAGTTCATTTGTCAAACATGGGGATGACGATTGAAAAACTTCACATATCTTTTGCAATACATGGTCTCCTGGAAGTGTTGGTCACAGATAATCATTTACCAGCAGGGAATTTGAATAGTTCCTAAAGTCGAAAGGAATTCGACGTATAAGGACAGCTCCATACCATCTATCATCCAATGGTCTGGCAGAACTGAGCGGTGCAAACTTTGAAGACAGGCTTAAACAAACAGCCTACAGCTTCACTAGATACCAAATTGTTCTGGTTCCTATTTGATTATAGGACCACCCCTCATGCAATTACAGAGATAGCTCCTGCTAGTGGGAAGAAGACTCCACACCAGGTTAGATCTGATCTTCCTGGACCTTGGGGTTGGGGGTGGGGGGAGGGGAATGCCAGACACAAGACTTTGCTAAGCAAGAGAGACGGTTTACTTTCAGGGATAAAGTTTGGACTAGGAACCATGGGAATGGCACTGCATGAGTAGGTTGACATGAGGTCAGGTTCAGTGACATATAAATTTCGGGTAGGTGCGACAGTCCTGAACAAGCATGTAGACCACATGAAAGCTGCAAACTCACAAAACAATGTGAGAGCAAAACATGCCCTGCTCCTCAACAGCCTTTCTGACTGTACCGAACACCTGGGTTCTCCCTCTCTGTCAAGCATTGAGGATATCTCGGAATCTGGGATGGACACGGTAGGTGTTGCCACCTCGATGCCTTTGCCACCTGAAGAAGAGAATAAATTTCTTCTGAGACACTCCAGGCGTAAGAGGCAAGCTACTGTGTGTTACATGCTGCCTGTATTAGAGGCAGAGTTGGAGGAACCTGACCTGGTGCTAAAACACCCTAAAAAGAGCTACAAAAAAAACCCAACCAGCCTATGTCCTCAGTCTCAGAGTGGGGGGAGGGATGTACTGATCGTAATGAGGTCAGCCAGATGGACTTCATAGAATAAGAGTTTCTTGTTTGAGGCTGTTAATCTGGTTCAATCAGGGAGTCCTGGCTGACAGATATAAACAGGCATGTCAGAGGGTCTGTTCACTCTGAGAGCTGGGTCTGAGAAAGCCACATCAGTGTCAAGGATTCTCTACGTGTAAATAAAGGATGACTTGGTGATGGGAGACCGGCCTCTGTGGAGTTATTTCATAGTGGATCAGCTTGCCTGTGCAAGCACCAGGTATTGACTCAGCCAAAGGAAAATACTGCTAATGCTGGGGTCCTGTTAGCTCAGTCTGATGTTTCGTTTGTGACACAGCGTGCTGCCAATAGCGTGGGTTCAATTCCTGCATCAGCTGAGGTTACCATGAAGGACTCTCCTTCTCAACCTCTCCCCTCTCCTGAGGTGTGGTGACCCTCAGGTTAGACCACCACCAGTCATCTTTTTCTAATAAGAGAGCAGGCCTAAGGTCAGGTCAGACCATACTGACTTTACTGCAGATGCTGAAAATCTGAAGAAAAACTGCTGAAGACTCTGTAGAAAGACAAGTTCATTTTTACAGGTTGAGATTTCAACCTGAAACATTGACTCTCCACTGATGCTGCCTGATATGCTGAGTTTTTCCAGCAGTTTTTGTTCACATTTTACGCTGTCATGTTGATGAGGGAGATCTCACATTCAGTAATCCCAAATTTCATTGTCTCAGTTAGAGATGCTAGAGTTAGCTTCATTACCACTGACTGTTTGAGTGGTTAAAAAAGACAGAATGGCTGCTTTTGATTGCTACCTAATGATTAGTGCCTGAAAGTGCCCACATTCAACATGAGGCAGGAGTGTGCTGTGCTGCACTGCACTACACCATTTGAAAGCCTTTGCAGTCTGATCACCTGATCAGCATGAGAATAGCATTATAGGCAAGGACTGCTCTTGCTGTGAGACTATATCCTAATGTGGGTCACTACCACGGGAGTAAAGGGTAGGAACGGGCTGGGAGGTTGGGTGAAGGGTATTCCCTAAATTAATTTTACTTTTTAAAAATCTTAAATAGGTGTCACAATAGTAAATTTCCACACCTGTCTTGAAAAAAAAAAGCTCTGCAGAGGTAACTAAATAATATCTCAAATTAAATGCTTGGTGATTCCATAGTCAATCTGTAAGTGAAATTAAATTCTGATACACCCAGTAATTAATTAACTCACCCTGATGATTAAATATTTTGCATATTGTTCTATGTCTTTTGGCAAAACATAAATGGCAACAGATTAAAAACTGGTCAGAAAGGATTTGAGACAACTCATTGAAAGTATTTTTAAAAATAATTTCAATTGTTCTGTAGGAACATTCACTTTTTGGTATTATTTAGAATGAAGACGAATTCACTCACCAAACCAGTACATTGGAGAAGATTGAGGATAGCAGATTGTCTTCATCGAAGGAGAACGGGAACAAGATGACATATTATGTCACTGATGTTCCTCCTTGGTATTTATGCATACTTCTTGGCACTCAGGTAAGAAACAGAGAGAGACAACAAGAACCAAAACACAGAAACATTATATAGCACCTTTCATGGCCTCAGCCTTATCGTGACTGTATCGTGTACCATCTATAGATAAACTGCAGCAATGTGTTAAAGCTGTTCTGCCAGCACTGGACCCAAACCTTGACTTCCGGCACCATGAATGACAAGACTATCAAGTGGAGAGGAAAATATTCACCTCTAGTCGCAAACCATCCTTACTCAGGCTGATATCATTGTTGTTGGTTTAAAATCCTGGAATTCCCTCTGAACCGTTGATGTACTGACACCAAACCAACTATAGTGTTCAAGAAGGAAAGAAACCATCACCTTTGCAAGGATTACTAGGGGTGGATAAGTCTTGCCAACAATTTTCACATCTCAACAATTAATTTTTAAAAATATGTCACAATGTACTTCACAACAATTAAATACTTTCAAAATATAGCTACTATTGTCATAGATACAAACACAGCATCCTATTTATGATAACAAGGTGTAGAGCTGGATGAACACAGCAGGCCAGGCAGCATCAGAGGAGCAGGAAAGCTGACGTTTCGGGTTGGGACCCTTTTTCAGAAATGGCGGAGGGGAAGGGGACTCTGAAATAAATAGAGAGCGGGGGGGTTGGTGATAGCAGGTGGATAGTGGACTGGATAGGTGGGAGAGAAGACGGACAGGTCAAGGAAGTGGAGATGAAGCTAGTAAAGGTGAGTGTAGGTAGGATGTGGGGGTGGGTCAGTGAGGTGGGAGGTGCGGGCAGGTGGGAGAGAAGATGGACAGGTCAAGGAGGCAGGGATGAGAGGGGGGCTGGTCTTGGGATGAGGTCAGGGGTGGGGAGATTTTGAAGTTAGTAAAGTCCACATTGAGACCATTGGATTGTAGGCTCCCAAGGCGGAATATGAGGTGCTGCTCCTCCAGTTTCCGGATGGCATCGTTGTGACACTGGAGGAGGCCCAGGATGGACATGTCACCCAGGGAGTGGGAGTGGAGTTGAAGTGGTTTGCGACTGGGAGGTGTTGTTGTTTGTCGCAAACTGAGTGTAGGTGCTCCACAAAGCGATCTCCGAGCCTCCACTTTTGTCTCCCCGATGTAGAGGAGGCCACGTCGGGAACTGCGGATACAATAGACCACATTCACGGATGTGCAGGTGAACACCTGTTTAATGTGGAAGGTTTTTTTGGGGCCTGGGATGGAGGTGAGGGGGGAGGTGTAGGGGCAGGTGAAGCACTTCCTACAGTTGCAGGGAAAGGTGCCGGGGATGGTGGGGTCAGTGGGGACTATGGAGCAGACGAATGAGTCGTGAAGAGTGTGGTCCCTCCGGAAGGTAGATAAGGGTGGGGAGGGAAAAATATCCTTTGTAGTGGGGTCAGATTGCAGGTGGTGGAAGTGGCAGAGAATGATGCGTTGAATCCGGAGGTTAATGGGGTGATACGTGAGGACAAGGGGAATTCTGTCTTCGTTTTTGTTGCGGGGAGGGAGTGTGAGGGCTGAGGTGTGGGAAATGCGAGAGGTGCGGTCGAGGGCATTTTCGACAACTGAGGGGGGAGCTTGTGGTCCTTGAAAAAGAAGGAAATCTGGGAGTGTCCGGGAGTGGAACACCTCATCTCGGGAGCCGATGTGGCGGAGGCGAAGGAATTGGGAATAGGGGATGGCCTTCTTGCAGGAAGGTGGATGGGAGGAGGTGTATTCTAGGTAGCTGTGGGTGTCGGTGGGCTAGAAATAGATATCAGTTTCAAGGTGGTTACTAGAGATGGAGACAGAGAGGTCCAGGAAGGAGAGAGAGGTATTAGTGATGGTCCAGGTGAACTTAAGGTTGGGTTGGGAAGATGTTAATAAAGTGGATGAACTGTTCAAACTCCTCGTGGGAGCACGAGGCGGCGCTGATACAGTCATCGATGTAACGGAGGACGAGGTGGTGGATGGGGCGGAAGACGGATTGTTCCACGTATCCTACAAAGAGGCAGGCATAGCTTGGGCCCATGCAGGTACCGAAGGCCACCCCCTTTGTCTGTAGGAAGTGGGAGGAATTGAAGGAGAAGTTATTAAGGGTGAGGACGAGTTCGGCTAAGCAGATAAGGGTGTCACTGGAGGAGGACTGGTCGGGCCTGCGGGACAGGAAGAAGCGGAGGGCCTTTAGGCCATTTGCATGGGGAATGCAAATATACAAGGATTGGACGTCCTTGGTGAAGATGAGGTGTTGGGGTCCAGGGAATCTGAAGTCTTGGAGGAGGTGGAGGGCATGGGTGATGTCCTGGACGTAGGTGGGGAGTTCCTGGATCGTGGGGAGAAAATGGAGTCGAGATAAGTGGAGATAAGTTCGGTGGGGCAGGACCAGGCAGAGACAATGGGTCAGCCAGGGCAGTCGGGTTTATGGATTTTGGGAAGGAGATAGAAACAGGCGGTGTGGGGTTGGGGAACGATGATCTTGGAGGCTGTTGGTGGGAGGTCACCTGAGGTGATGAGGTTGTGGATGGTCTGAGAGATGATGTTTTGGTGGTCAGGGTGGGGTCATGATCATGGGGGCAGTAGGAGGATGTGTCAGAGAGTTGGTGCCTGGCCTCGGCGATGTAAAGGTCAGTATATAGCTAACTTAAATAAAATCATTTTGGTAATCTTTCTAATAATGCAGTGACATTTTACAGTATTTATTAATGAATAGGGAAAATAAAGGTTTGTTTTGCAACTTTTACAAGTAACAATGTTCCTTCGATACTAAAATGCAAGAAGCAAAATAAATTAGAACATAGCCATCAATGGCAATTTTCAAGAACCTTGTGAAGGAGCCTGTTTAAAACTCTTTGTTTTGGAATTCCAGCTGTTAGCAATGATTCTACTTTCCCAGTTACTTCTCCTTAAGAACCATTTTTTGTTTCTCTACATGTTGCATTGCTACCTCATTTTGATGAGGTCATCCTCTTTGTCATTTAATTTCTCATACATTTCATCCTATCATGGATATTCCCTTCTGTTTTCCCTTCCCATCACGCATTGAAATTTACCAGTATTTTGTGCTTTCATTTTCAGAATCCATTATATTTTGCTTCTGAGTAAAATTCTATTTGTAATGACATTTTCTCCAGCATTATCTGACTGCTTTGGGCGGTATTGTAGCCATCCCTCTCCTTCTGTCTCGGGAGCTCTGTTTACAACATGACCACATCACACAGAGCAAGCTTATCAGCACCATCTTCTTTGTCTCAGGAATGTGCACACTGCTTCAAGTTCTTTTTGGGGTCAGGTGAGACAGCGACACATTTCAATTTTCAATCTTTGTCAATAATCGAAATTAACCTTTGTCTATATTTATTACAGAGCTTTCATAAAATATGGCATTGTGCCCATCAGTCTTAGACTGTTAGAATGTTGCAATGTTAGCGGTTATATCTTCGGACACTAGAATACAAAAAGATGATAAGTTAAGCTCCAACTGTACAAAGTTCTAGTCTCGAAATAATGAGTTCAGTTTTGGGCACCACACCTCAGGATAATGTATTAGTCTTAGAGCTTCAGGTTAAGTGGAATATAGCCTGGATTCCAGAGCTTTTATTAGAAAGTGAGATTAATTGCCCAAAATGTAAAAGGTTGAGGTGTAATTTAATTGAGGTGTTCAAGTTATAAAGGGAACCATGTAGAGATGATAAAAGGAAATCCTACTTCTGTTAGAAAATCAGTTTAGCACTACAGGACGTAGTCCAAAAGAAAGATACAACTTCAAGCAGAGAAGTTTGCAAAACGGGACTTCATGTAAAGAAGTGTGGAACTGTCTGTCACAAAACAAAGCAGATGTTACCTCAATTAATAACTTAAAATCTGAGATTCATGACATTTTGCGACACAAATATATGATTGGAAATGGAGGGAGTCAGGTTGAATCAAGACAAAATCAATCAGTATCTACCTGAGCTGTGAAACAGGCTAACTGACCCATTCCTTTTCCCATTATCCTAGCAGGGATGGTCAGAACATTTTCAAAGTATACAATGGCAAGCAATTAAGCATTTTCCCATCAGTGCTGATATCTTTAAAAATCTGTTTATCCTTTCGTGACTCATAATATCAACATCAATCATTTACAACCAATGATCAATTGCAAGTTAGAGGATGTGCCCTAGCTCAGCTAGTCCAAGAATAATTATGGAGCATCTAATTTGTACTGAAATGATTGTTGAGGTGCTTGATTTGCTTGAGTTCAGGTATTTTATGACTGGCTGGCATTGGCTATGAAATTTGTGAATCTCTTGCATTCCCCTAGTAGTTTTGGTGGGCACAGGTGATGTGCCAATGGTGCACTTGTTAACTTTAAGTAAAACAGGGTCAGCTGTAAATGTTTTTTGGGAACCAATAGAAATAATTATTCTGGGATCAATTTTTTAGGCTCTTGTATAACATAAGCTTCCATTAAAAATTGCATGAATTTGTGGCACCTACTGTAACAAGGAGAGTTGACCAATTTGCTATGTTTGTTTCAGGTTGCCAATTCTTCAAGGAGGGACATTTGCTTTCCTAACTCCGACCTTAGCCATGCTGTCTTTGCCTCAATATAAATGTCCAGAGTGGACCTACAACAAGACACTAGTCAATGTCAGTGATCCAATCTTTATTGAAGTTTGGCAGACACGCATACGTGAGGTACTTCTAAACACAGAATCTATTTTTCAGGAGATTGTCTGGCCACAGTGCATTAGTGACCTTTCATTTTTAGCACCTAGGCTTGACTCTAGTCCATATTGATGAGCTAAAAGCTTTCTTTTGCAGCAATGGTTCTCTCTACAAGGAGAGTGACAGATTTAACCTAGTTCCTATTGGAGACAGTAAGGACTGCAGATGCTGGAAGCCAGAGTCAATAGATGTGAAGCTGAAAAAGCACAGCAGGTGAGACTGCATCTGAAGAGCTTGAAAGTCAACGTTTTGGGCTGAAATCCTGACAAAGGATTTGCTGTCTGACCTGCTGTGCCTTTCGGCTTTCCATCTATTGACTCTATTTACTTATTAGGCAACTAACAAACTAAACTACTTAAGAGGTAACTCTTAAGACTCTGATGGCCAAATCTGTTGAAGGCTTTTGACTCTGACACCTCTCTCTCTGTCCAAAACATCAGAGACCAAACGTCAGTCCAAGCTGTTCTTGCCTTTGTTTTCAGAGTGTGAAATATGGTATGTACATTTTCAATAGCTTTTGACCTGGGGTCCCCTATCCCCATAGTAACCAAGCCACACAAGAATTTGAAGAAAGTCACATGACCCTCTTCATTCCTCCATTTTATGTTAAAGATACCGTCCAAAACATAATCACCTTAATATTAACAATTTATTATGAAATAACGATAATTAAAAGTTTATTTTTGCTTTTCATTTTCATATTTAGTATGGCCTTGCTTAGTTTTTTGTCTAACAAGAGCAACCATGTATTCATACTGAAGTCTTAATATCCATTCAGCAAAACATATCCTTCTTCATAGGTCCACAATATATATCAGTGACAAAGAAGGCAAATATTCTTGTCTTTTACAGCTATGAACAGAAATTCATTTCCATGGAAGATCTATATTTTTGGTTTGTTTTTAAATGGCTCAGGTTTCCCATTCATCATTATTGCTTCACCTTGTAGTTTGTAATATCACTCAGTTGCTGCTTACACTGTGGATTAGCTTCTAGACCCACACATCTAGAACATCCAGAATGTTGCTGCTTTCAACTATGTGGCACTGGAGGTCACTTCTGTGGTTGCAGTTTGGTTTGGAGTGCCTGGTCAGCCTGCATTGCTCAGATATTGAATGAGTTGGGGGAGCATAGTCATGTTCCCATAAACTTTCTTTGTCCAGCACAGGCCTATTTGATGATCAGCTGAAGAACAAAATGCTGCAGGTGTACAATAAGTGGGCAGTGGAGCAGGGATAACTGAGCTGCTCTTGGAGGGAGCTTGCATGGACATGATGGGCTGAATAGCCGCCAATGTTCTAGTACCGTAATATATTGGCTACATGCATCAGTTCCAGTTAAATTTCTTATTCATTAGTTTGTATTCACTCTCAGCTGGTTAAAATCCAAGACAAAAACAACACTGACTTTGTTTGTGGAACTTCAGCACGTTGATGACAAGAGAATCTTCTCGCAAGAGAATCTTCAAGCTTTGCTGAACACATTTGCAGAAGCGTACCAAAACACTGGTCTCAGCTGCAACCTCAAGAAGACTCAATACTTTACCAACCTGTGCCAAGTCAAATTCTGGCCAATCCCTCCATTAATATCAATGGAAAAGTCTCCCCACAAGAATTGGAACAATTCCCTTACTTGGGAAGCTACCTCGCACCTAAAGTTGACATCGATGCAGAGATTCAAAATCACATCCAATCTGTGAGCATGACCTTCAGGTGCCTAAGGATGAGATTCTGCAATGACTGTAGCACTCGTGCTGATACCAAGCTTGTGTATCAGGCAGTCAGCCTTCCATCCCTTCTATATGGCTCCAAAATGTGGACAATGTATAGACGCACTTTAGAAGTACCATCTATGTTGTTTGAGATGGATTCTCCACATCAGCTGGGGAGATAGGCATAGTGACATCAGAGTCCTGGAAGCAGCTAACAGCACCAGCATCGAGGCCATGATCATTTGAAACCAATTCTGCTAGGCCAGCTATGTGCTTATGATGCCTGAGTTCTGATTGCCAAGGTGAATCTTCTTCACCCAGCTCAAGGAAGGCACTCAAGAGGATCAAAGGAAACATTACAAAGACTCCCTGAAGACTTCCTTCAAGAAATGCAACAGAAATGGCAGTGCATGGGAGACCCTCATTCGGAGAAACTGATGTCGAGGAACTTCCTGTATGAAGGGACACGATTCTTTGAGAACATTCATCGACAAGAGGAAGTATAGAAAAGGAATGCCAGCAAACTCAATGCCAAGGACTAATTCGCCCTCCTGGAAACACCAACCAAATGTGTGGTTGCAGATGTGGCTCTAGGATCAGGCTCATTAGGCACACAAGGACCCACAGAACCCATGACCAGTGACACGGAATTTCCAGGGTAGATAATGATACATGTTAGCAAGTGAGTGCCAATGACAATGACAATTGTCACCATAGAACTTACTTTACCCTGCGATGACAGTCCGTCCAGACCAACTGAAACATGAATCAACAAGCTGGTAAAGTCTGACAAAAACATGCGCTTTTCTCTCGCAATCTTACTTTCAGAAGTGGAAGCCACACAGGGACATGACGATCGATGTGCGCACAGTGAAACAATGCGGTGTGGCAGTGAGATCAGCCATCAAAAACGTACACAGCATGGGAATGTAGAGGGGGTGAAGAGATCAACCTAGAGATCCTGACCTATATGCTGGATGTCATGGTTCTGAAGAGGGTTTCACTTCATCTACCACTATCAGCAATTAAGCTAACCCCATATCTCAAAGATTAATTTTATTCTTTGCTTCATCAGACAACAAGGTTAAGATTTCCACATTGGGCACAAAATCCTATAATCGTGATCTTGTCTTTTCTGATAACAAATGCATTTGAAGCTATTACTTTGTCACAAGTGCAACCTCTGGTTTTAGATTTTCTACAGTCTTCAGTTATTTTTAAATTCACTCATGGGATATGGGTGTTGCTGACTGGCCAGTATTTATTGCCCATCTCTAGTTGCCCATAAGAAGGTGGTGGTGAGCTCTCTTCTGGAACCACTGCAGCTAGTGCTATATGAATTTGCACTATAGATGGAGGAGTGAAGCAGCTTGTGACATTTATGCTATTTTACCTCATCCAGTGTCCCAAACCACAAGCTTATAATCATTTTCCCCATTAATCTTCACTTGACAAAATGTTTATTTATTGTCCACGAGATTTTTACAATGTCTGAAAAACGTGATGGCTTGGTCTTAATGACGTTACTTTAAAACATTACATTTTTCTCTGAGTTCAGCTGAAAGTAATTTATTTTGTGTGGCAATCCATACTTTTCGACTGAAGAAGAAATAGGAAATGTAAGCAGAAAGCATATTTCCTGTTCCATTTCTGCAGTCAATAAATAGAATGATATGTATTTGTATGACATTTTTCATGAGCATCCGAAACCTTAAAGAACGCTATTGATTTTTGAAATACACGACTGCTGTAGTCAAGAAGATGTGAATCTGATTTGTGTATAGTAAGATTCCATAAATGGTGATCTGATCATGACCAACCAATCTGTTTTTGTGATGTTTATTAAAGGGTAAATATCAGCCAGGACACCAGAATAACTCACCTGCTGTTCTTCGAATAGAATCATATCCAACCCACCAAACAAGTGGGTGAGACTTTGGTTGAAAGATGACATTCCTGACAATGCTGCACTCCCTCAGTACTTCACTGGAGTCCCATCCTTGATTCTTGTACTCAGGTCCTAGTGTGGGATTTGATTCCAGAGCTTTTCAGAGGCGAGAGTGTTCCCAACTAATCTTCTCATGAAGATTAAATTAATGATTCTCAGAATGTTGGAAATTCACTTTTCTTGTATTTTAAATACAATCATGGTAACCTGATAATCCTATTCTTTGCAGATCCAGGGAGCAGTCATGGTGGCAGCCTGTTTCCAAATAGTTGTGGGATTTTCTGGTTTAATTGGAATTTTAATGCAGTACATTGGCCCTTTAACAATTGCTCCAACCATCTCTCTGATTGGATTGGCCTTATTTGATTCAGTTGGAAACGATGCAGGGAGCCACTGGGGCATTTCAGGCATGTAAGTGATTGTTACTATTGTTAAAAAGAAGGGCTACATTACTTTATGTTATCACTTTGTAGAAAGCTTGTTACTGGTGAAAATGATAAATATTAATTTGTATCAACAGAAACAGTAACTATAAATAGCAGAAGTGGATACTAACTAAAGTATTTATGACAAGGATGACACATGCTTATTACTAGAAATGTAGACAATGGCTGCAACTAGGTAATAAACACCTGGTTAAGTTTTTCACACTAGTATGCAATATAGGACTTGCCATCCCTATGGCCATACTAGTCTGAAGATGCCCGATCCCACCTGCTTTTGGAAGCTAAGCAAACCACCAGGCCTGGTTAATAGTTGGATGGGAGCTCACCTGGCAATATCAGGTGGGGTAGGCTTTGCCCCTTTTGTGGCACAGTGATAGTGTCCTTACCCCCTGACCAGGAGGCCTGGCTTTAAGTCCCATCTGCTTCAGAGGTGTATAATAATCGGTTGATTAGAAAAATAGTTTAAATAAAAAACTTTAAGAAAAAATTATAGGACTTGCACGAACATTAGCATAAATATAGGCTAGAGTAAGCATACACAGTATACTAAATACAGGGACTAACTATTGAAATCTATTACTAAGCGATGCAATAATGTGGTAGGCTGTAAATATTTACAACAAATAATGCAATGTTAAAACCTCTTACACAGCATAAAGAGCGGTTGTGAAAGTGTGTTTTGTTAACAAAGTGTTAAAGTTGGTAATTTGGTGGAGCTGGCAAAGGAGATAAAATTTATTATTCTGGGTATTTTTTTTAACCATAGTTGCTGATAGTTGTTTTTCTTTCATTCCTCCATAAGTAACTTATTGTTACTTTACTGATTTACACTAGACTGACATGCTAACTAATAAAATTAATCAATTCAATTTAAACAAAAATAAGTACTTAGTGAAACAAATAAATAAATAAAAACAGACAGACGTGGTGGTGTAGCATGTGAGAGTTTGTGAAAGGATTATGATCCCAGACTGTCTGTGGTAAGTGGTTGCAGCTTGAAGAACCTTGTTTAGCGACGTTGGAAACAAGATGCAAACATTAGCAAGTGTCAGGGAGAGAAAGAGTTCCTTGGAGATATTTTCTAATCAACATATACAGAGATGTTATGACACATTTCTGGAGCAGGCGGGACTTGAATCTGGGCCTCTTGGCTCAGCGGTAGGGACATCACCACTGTGCACTTTGTTTCAGGAGGTAGTGAGTTGGTGGAGAAGTACACCCAGTGCTGACTGTGTCCGTCACAAACTCCATTTCCTGTCTTCACTTTGTTCTCTAGATGCACAAATGCGGCTGGAAAATGGCTGGGACAGAGTTGGGGTGGGTGGAGTCAGCATCATTTTGATGGATGAAAGCATGGGATCCACATCTGCTGGATTGTAGAACATCAAAGAGCCAAATACATGAAGCATGCATTTGCAAACTCTACCTACATTTCATTTGAAATGTTTCTTTGCAGATATGCAATGCACACAGAATGAATGTGTGTATGCATTAGTTATTGGTCAAATGCAGATTATACCATACCACTGGGGCTAGTTAAATGAGTATTGACATTTCAATGATGCCTAAGTTAGAGGCAGTAACCTGAACCTTTCAAGGAACTTCCAAGGGTGCTGTGAGAGAAGGGGATATTGCTGCATCATACATCATGTAAATATGACAATGGACTCTAATCAATTCAATGGTGGGTGAAATGGTCAAAGGTCTGAGATGGGCTCCTCTGAGAGGAGCAGGCACACCCTCTTTCATATAATGTGTTGGTCACTCAGCCACTGGGGCACATTCATCAAGTTGCTGTGACACGACATGCAGTGGAACTGCTGAAGATATGGTTGGTGAGGGATGGGGGGGGCGTCACCAATCTATTCTGGACAGAATGTGCTGCATCATCTTGATGTGTTGCGCTCTGCACAACTGGAGGTGACAGATATTAAGGAATGGGGGGAAAGGGAATTGGAACACAGTCTTCTGAAGAGGAGCATGAAGACATTCATGTGGCTGACAGAGCTCAGTTGCATTGTTTCCTACAATGAGGGAGGACCTGTAGATGTGAGCTGGATTAAAAGACCATCATGGGTTGTCAAGGTCAAGATATCAGCATTTGGTTCACATTGTAGGTGTGAACTGCAGCTTGTATTCAATTTCTTTGTGTCCCCTTTTGCTCATGTTTGCACTTGTCTGAATGCTTGTCTGTATATCTTGTTCCTTGTTGGACAATGACTAGATATGGGTGACCATTGGGAATTGGTGAAAGAATGGTAAGGACTAAGAAACGGTCTTCACAGAGGATGTACCCCAGAAAAAGTAAAGTATGTGGCTTAGTAGTTAAACAGTGACAACGATGAGAGAATGGAGTTGAAAGTGTGAGGAAGTTTTTTGTTTGTTTAGTCATGATTTTTGGGAGTCACTAACTGGGCCAGCATTTATTGCCTAGGGTGGGGCTCGGCAGGGTCATTTTGACATATAGCACACTGAGACGTCAGTTTAACATCTAACAATTGTGCCAGCTCCCTGCATGGCAAACACACTGCGTATTTATTCAACCAAATGGCTATGTCAGAAAGTGGACGGGGACCAGTCCTCAGCCCAGATAAAGGGGGTTCCAGTACCATTAGTCACATGTACATAGTGCAGGGGCTTGGTCAGTGTCAGTTTTCAGCCATGGACATCATCGTAAGGCAATGAGTCTGACTGAAGTCCGGGAGGTGGTCAGTGGTCAGTGGGCAGTGGTCAAGGCCAGCATTTAATCTGAATGGCTTGCTAGAGCCATTTCAGAGGGCAGTTAAGACTTAAGCATATTGCTGTGTGTCTGGAGTCATGTTTCATCCAGACCAGGTAAAGATTGCAGATTTCCTTCCCTAAAGTACATCAGTAAACAAGGTAGGTCTTTACAACAAACAATAATGGTCACATGGTTACCATTTGGGGCGGCATGGTGGCACAGTGGTTAGCACTGCTGCCTCACAGTGCCAGGGACCTGACGTTTGATTCCACCCTCGGGCGACTGTCTGTGTGGAGTTTGCATATTGTCCACGTGTCTGTGTGGGTTTCCTCCGGGTGCTCCAGTTTCCTCTCACAGTCCAAAGATGTGCAGGTTAGGTGGATTGGCCATGCTAAATTGCCCATAGTGTTCAGGGACGTGTAGATTAGATGGGTTATAGGGTGATGGGTTTGGGTGGGATGCTCTGAGGGTTAGCATGGACTTGTTGGGATGAAGGGCTTGCTTCCACACTGTAGGGATTCTGTGATTAGGTTAGCTTTTAATTCCAGATATTTTTTGAATTGAAACATCACCGTCTGCCCTGTCGGATTTGAACCCATTGACCTAGAACAATGGGTTGGGGTTCTAGATTAATATTGCAGTGATATTACCATAATACCACCACCTTTCCAAATTTGCCATTCATGAGGACCTCACTATGACAATACCTATCTGGACTGAATGCATTGAGCAACCATCAAACACAAGCAACAAGTTTCCAGCTCCTCAGACCAAGATTAATACAATTGCTTTCACAAATGTTTCAAACACATTTAATTCTTAACATTCCTTGTAACTGTTACTTTATTTCAGGACTGCAAGCTTCATCATAATATTCTCCCAGTATTTGCGAAATGTGCCAGTACCTCTTCCTGCTTTTAATAGGAGTAAAAAGTGTCATATTTATTGGATTAACATATTCCAGATATTTCCGGTACGTATGAACAATATTTACTCTTATAACTTTAGTCTTGCGTTAAGAATCAAACAACGAGCATTGTCATGCATGTGCTGCAATTTCTAAACTATGTAAGAAAAAGCATCATGGCTCTTAATTTTTTTGGTAACATTAATGCTCATAAATGATGGATGTTGGGACTGGGAGACTTTCCTTTTTAGGCATTTGTATTCACATTAAGCACTTCACTCTCAAATCAGGTGTAACACATTTCACTGCAAAGTAAGATTCCTTACACTCTAAGTAATGTTGCTTATCTTCAACCTGAGAAAAATATCCTTTACTTCAAGAGTGTGACTATCATTTATTCCTCCTACTAAGAATACAATGGCTTCTCTGAATGAAGTTTGTAGTTAAATGTCTCTTTGTATTATATTGCAGCAATTCAATACTATGGGCTCAATTTCACAAGAAATTTAACTTGACACTATTCCTATTCATTTCACATAGCACTCCTGCAGGTAACAAAACACAATATAATTATTTCCCTGTAGCCTTGTACTTTCCTCTGTATCAAAGGTTTATCCAATTTTTGTGTGACGGGAGCAATGGCCTCTGCCTTTGGCAAGCAACAACATATCGACTAATGAAATTCCTCTTTGCTTCTTCATTTGCCTAGTAGCATTTTTAAATTGACGATGTGTCATTGCCATAGGAATGCAGGACTTAAGAGCAGGAGTAGGCCACTTGGCCCTATGAGTTTGTTGCATCATTCGATAAGATCCTGGTTAAGTTGATTTTGTCTCAACTCCACTTTCCTGTCTCGACTACCACCTTTCTTTATATGGTGAGCTCCTCATTCCAGAAATGAATTGAGTGAATGTTCTCTGAACTGCTTCTAACGCAATTACAGCCTTTTGCAAATAAGAGGTCAAAAATGTACACAGTGCTCCAAGTGTGGTTTCACTCAGGCCCTGTACAACTGAAGTTAAACTGATTTTATATTCAATCTCTATTGCAATAGACTTCAATATTCAGATACCTTCCTGATCATTCACTGTACCTGTATACTAACGTTTTGTGGTTTGTCCAGCAGAACACCCAGATCTCTGGGTAACACCAAGCTTTGTAATCTGTCTGCATTTGAAGAGTATATTGCTTTTCTACACTTCCTGCCAAAGTGGACAAGTTCATATTTCACACAAATTTTAGTGCACTTAGTGAACTTGCACATATCCCTTTGTAGATTCTGTACCTCTTCTTGACAACTTACTTTTCTGCCTATCTATGTCATCAGCAAATTTTGCTCTCATACTTTTAGTCCATTCATCAGATTATTAGTATAAACTATAAATATTTGAAACCCCAGAACTGATCCCTGTGGTACTCCACAGTTGCAGCTTGCTAACCCATAAGATACCTATTTAACCCTATTCTCTATTTCATGTTAGTAAACCAAGCCTTTATCCATGTTAATATGTTATTCCCTACACCACATGCTCTTGTGTCGTAAACTTAGATGTGGAACTCTGAGCATACCACATCTAAATGATCCCCTTTATCTATCTTGTTACTTCCTGAAAAAAATGAATAAATTAGTTAAACATGACTTCCCTTTCAAAAAGCCACATTGACACTGCCCAACCACTTAATGATTTTCTAGGCATCTGTGATAAGGCCCTTAATAATAAATTCTAACAAGCTCCCTATGAAAATCAGTGGCATTAATCTTTCCCTAATTATTAAAATCCTCAACATTTTCAAATCTCAATTAAATCAGGATTTCTAACTATTATGAAAACAGCCTGATTTATTTCATGTTCAGGTACTTCTAGGAATTGCAGTTTCATGGATTATTAGTGTTCTACTGACGTATTTTAATGTGTTTCCTGATGACCCTGATGCTTATGGATATTATGCAAGAACGGACATAAAGAGTGACGTTATCATGCATGCTGATTGGTTTCGGATCCCATACCCTGGTAAGTAAAATAAGAAGGATAAGAAAATTATGAAGGTCAGGCATAATCTGTGTAATAGGGATGTGAGGATTGAGGAGTGACTGATCTTAGTTGTGCAGTTGATAGAAAATGGCTTTCAAAGGTGACCTGACCATCTTCCATTATATCCAAGTCCTTGATGCTTGACCTCGGCTCTGACCTCAGAGAGGATGTACACAGTCCCACTGCTCTTCTGCACTTGAGTCTAGAGGGCCTCCTGCTCCTGTAGATACAGGATATCATTCCTTTCCACCTCCTCCACTATGGCCTACAATGCAGCCCACTCTCTCCATTGTTTTGCCATTTTGCAGTGTTTCCCAGGTCAGTCTCACCTTCTGGATGCCTATGAGCACCCACTCCAGTCATATGACACCTCTTCTTTCAAAGGTTTGGGCTAACTCTACGCAGCGCAAGCTAAGCATAACTTGTGCTAGCCACTCACAATAATGTGTCCCGGTGATTCTCCCAGTCATTACTGGATGCTGAAATTATTAAAAGAGCAGACAGATGAAGACCTGCTCTCTCCCTGAAGGTTCAGAATTTAACCTGTTTTTTAAAAACAGACAGTAAGTACAAAAACCAAAAAAAGTGCATTTTTTAAGAGTGGAGGCTGAGTACCAGTGACGTCACTGGGGCTGTCAGTGACACCTGCAGAGAAACCACGTTCAAGCTTTCACGCCAGGCAAACCGAGTAGGAAAAGGACTCGGGACTAGAAGACACCCATTATTACAACTCACCTTCCTTTTTGTGATGCCAGGAGGAGCAGGAGTGCCATCTCCTGGTGAGTGTGGGAGGTGTTCCTTCAACCACTGGAATGGCTCCTGGCCACTCCTTCTCACCCTTCAGGCAGCTGCTATTTCAGTCTCCCAGGCCTATTGCGAACAAAGACGGTATAATTAATTGTCCACCTGTCCTAGACACCCTGTACAACTGCCACCAGTGTTAAAATCAGACTTTAATATGCCACAACAGTACATTATCACAGACTGTGAGATCATAAAATGGGATGCCACCTTGTCTAACGTTGGAAAACTGCAATGTCATTGCCTTTGTCTTTTTTCACTCAGGGCAGTGGGGATTACCAACAGTAAGCCTTGGTGGTACTTTTGGAATTCTGGCTGGAGTGATCTCGTCAATGATCGAGTCTGTTGGAGATTATCATGCCTGTGCTCGGCTTTGTGGTGCGCCACCTCCTCCGAAAGAAGCCATAAACCGAGGGATTGGCATCGAGGGAATCGGTTGTCTGTTTGCTGGAGCCTGGGGAACAGGAAATGGAACAACGTCCTACAGTGAGAATGTTGGTGCTCTGGGGATTACAAAGGTATAAACTGGACTGGAAAGCTGTTTTCTCAATCTATAAATACAAAGAAGAGGTTTTTATTTATTTTAACATTAATTGAAAGGTAATCATTGTTTCTCATTTTTATTCACCATGCCTACTTTGCTGCTCCATGATTAGCTTTTAAAGATGCACAAACATAACTCTGAGATTAAAGTTTTCATCAATACATAAAAACTATTTATTGTGAGGATTTGAAAGTAAGCCCTTTTTGTATTTTGCACACTATGTCCTAACCTGTGGAAAGTGAACCAAGAACATGGGTCCAGTTCCTATACAGTAGGCATCAAACACACAGATGCCACCACTGTGACGTCCAACTCTACAGCATTAACCACGTGGTGTAGCTCAAACCAGGAACATGGTAAAATAGGACATGAAGCTGAATTCATTCCTGTTCTGTAGTATTGAACATTAGTCCTCTATGAACCAAACAGGTCAGTGATAAAAGGTAATAGCCCAGGAAACTATCACTTCATTATTGCTTCTTTTCTGTACATTTTTCGGATGCCATGATATAACTAGAACAATTCATAGCAACAACTTGAAATGATGATATAGCGCATCAACAGGGAAGGAAAATCCCAAGATGCTTCAGAAATACAAGGGGAAAACACTAAACCAAAGGAGGAAACATTAGTTCTCTCATGCTCAACTCTCGGGTACTCTGCCCTAGATTTAATTCAGTTTCAGGCGCAGGGCATTCTGGGTAGCAAGAGAACTGCCTGGAGCAAGAAATTGAGGCTTGACAAGCTCAGTCCATCAACATCCACTTTTAAATATATTAACAGGAACTTCTCCTAGAGTTCCATAGGCACACAGATGTCCTCTCCTAAAACTATCCTTTCATCAAGTTTTCAATCCAGTTTTTCAAAGGTAAGTGTTGAACTACACAGATGATTATGTAGAACAGTGGGTTCCAACTCAGTGGGATGAAAGTCTCGTCTTCTGCTCTGTAAAACTCCCAAATTAAATAAGCTTGGAGCGGTCTGAAACTGGTTCCAAATGTATAACAAGACCATTGCACAGAGTTAATAATGGATTGATAATAAATTGTCAGTCAATTCCAGCAAAGACTGGCTAGAGTAAAAAATGGAAACTGGTGAAATATCTCACTCTTATTGATTTCAGGTGGGAAGTCGCAGAGTTATACTTTTCAGTGGATGCTTAATGCTTCTTGTGGGACTGTTTGTAAAAATTGGAGCAATTTTCAGTACCATCCCACAGCCAATAATCGGTGGAATGCTGTTGGTGATGTTTGGAGTCATTACAGCTATTGGGATTTCAAATTTGCAGGTATTGTTGATTCAGTGGCATTTTCCTTCAGGTTTCCAAATCACCAAATGACTACATTCTTGAATCCAAAGTTTCATCCAACAGATGAGGAAAAATAGATTCCTTTTCCTGTCTGCTTTTCTCATTGTAATTTTTTCATTCTATATCTCATAACTGCCATCGATTCAGTGAATCGGACACGTGAACATTTCGTGCTCAATAATTTGACCATTTGGTTGCTTTTCCTACAAAACACTCTGATCCTTCATTTTGCCAGCAGTCACTGATTTATAATTACACAAGTCCCAGATAGGGATATTGGCTGAATCTAATGGGGTTTTGTTTTGGTTAAGTACCTTAGGGGCTCAGTGGTTAGCACTGCTGCCTTACAGGGCCAGGAACCTGGGTTTGATTCCAGTCTCGAGCAACTGTCTGTGTGGAGTTTACACAATCTCCATTTCTGCACGAGTTTCCTCTGGATGGTCCGGTTTCCTCCCACAGTCCAAAGGTGTGCAGGTTAGGTGGATTGGCCATGGTTAAATTGCTCATAGTGTTCAGGGATGTGCAGGCTAGGTGGATTTGCCTTGGAAATGTGGGGTTACAGGGATAGGTAGTGGGGTGGGTCTGGGTGGGATGCTGTTCGGAGGGTCGGTGTGGACTTGATGGGCAGCATGGCCTGCTTCCACACTGTAGGGAATTCTAGGAGTCTATTGGTGTCACTAAGTTTCTTGAAGGGTTTCCATAGTTCAGGCATCACATCATGAATCTTGAGAGTATCACAACGTTACAGTCAATACTGTTGATAGAGTTAATCCTAGGGAACTCCATGAGCACCATGATCTCTGTGTGATATCACACTGCCCCACTGATTTTATTCGACTTGTTGTGAGTGGCCAATAGTTTTATCTGCACATTTAAATGAACATCTTTTAAACTTCTTTAATATTTTTAATAATTTAGAAGAAAAGGATAAAAGGTTATATTTCAAAACAGTATCAAGTCTTTCTTTTCATTGAGTGCTTGACCTGTGGGCAGAATGTTTAGGTCTCACCAGGGGCCCCCAGGCAGATGGGGCCTACAGAATACTAGCACTAGCCAGCATATCAGCTTCTGACACTATTACTGGTGCTGACTAACTTAGGTGAGACATGTTTAGGGTCTGGTCTAGATGGACCATCTTCATAAAGTAGGGGGAACCAATCAGGTTCATTAGAGACTCGTCCCTGAGAATTACAGGCAGTCAACTGGCCTGTTCCAGTCAGCCACCATTTTCCTGATAGAGCGTGGATTGTTAAATTGTCTCAGGCACACACACACAGCCAGTGGCTCCCTGTACTGGGATTTCCCTCTTCCATAGTGATAGCCTGCCTTTCATAGGGTTGAATTATAAACTGGTAATACAAGTTCACAATACCCTTTTGTTATTTACTCATCAAATGTTCTACCAGAGACTGATCACTGGAAATTTGACTATGGTCATTGCTGAGGAAGTCATTTTAATATGACTACGTGTACAAAAGTGAGCTTGCATGACTATCACATCTGTGTAACTCAGCTGAATCAGCTTTGGAAGCCTGCCTTTATCAGTGTGTAGCTTGGATTGGCAATATTGTACTTGGTAAGTGGTGAAGGAGGGAAATCTGGAAGAGAGAGCAAGCAGGAAGAAACTTCAGGAAGGCAGAGATTGTGGAGAAGGGTGAAGCAGTCTGGATTGACCAGCATTCTCTGACTGGATGATCCTAGAAAAGTGAGAATGCTCCTCCCATTTTCATATTCAAGAAACGTGGCAGATGGAATACAATGTGAAAAAAATGTGAGGTTATCCATATTGAGAGAGAGAACAGCTATGCTTACTTTTTTTTTTAAAAGTTATGAGATTACAAAGTGTAGATGCACAAAGAGGCCTGGGGGTCCTCCTCAAAAAGTCATTGAAGGCTAATGTGCAGATGCTGCAAACTATTAGGAAGGCTAATTATAATTTATTTATAATCAACGTGTTCAGACATGATATTACAAACCATGGTGAGACTAAAACCCAAACTTTCTGCCCCAGAGGTAGAGGCAATACCATTGCATACACCCACCCCTCAGGATAGCTAATGTTTATCCCTATAGCATGAGGATGTAGGTAGGGGAATGTGTTCAATTGTATAGAACCTCAGTTAAGATCTTCTGGTACAATGGTATTGGCACTACTTTTGAGCCTGGAGGCCTAGGTACAAGTCTTAACTGATTCAGAGGTGTGTAGTAACATCTCTGAACAGCTTGATTAGACAATATCTAGAGCCTTGGCCAGCCTGTGCTTGGTATACTGTGTGCAGTTTTGGTTCCCTTACCTTAGGAAGATACTATTGCCATGGGCTGAATGCAACAAAGATTCATAGACTTGTTCCTGGGATGGCAGGACTGTCCTATGAAGGGAGGTTAGGTAAACTGGGCCTGGATTTTTTTAAAGTTTGAGAAATAAGAAATGATCTCATTGCAACATTCAACATACTTTAAGGGATAGGTAAAGTAGATGTAAGTAAGATGTTTTCCCTCGTTTGGGAGACTAGAACCAGAGGTATAATTTCAAAATAAGCAGGAAGCCACTTTGGACTGAGATGAAGAGAAATAATTTTTTACTCTGTGTTTGGAATTCTCTATCCCAGAGGGCTGTGGAAACTCAATAATTATGTTTAAAGCAGAGATTTACAGATTGCTAAATACCAATGACAATACGACATTACCGATATGGAGATAGTGTAGGGAAAAAGGCATTGAAGTAGGTGAACAGCCATGATTGTAGTGAATAGCAGAGCAGGCTGAATGGGCTGAATTGACTCATCACGCCACTATGTTCCTAACTTAAAGTTCAAGGCAAGTTCAGAACAGCAAATTATGGATAGCTATCTGAAAGTGTGAGGTCAAGCATCATTTTCACATTCCTGCATTTTTCTGATTGCAGTTATATTTTCTCTCCTTTTAGTTTGTAGATATGAATTCATCAAGAAATATATTTATTTTTGGATTTTCCATGTTTTCTGGCATGGTTATTCCCAACTGGATGAATAAATACCCACTTGCTATTCAAACAGGTAGGAAATCAACTTATTACTCCAAATATACCTGGATTGATAAATAATTAGGTAAGCAGACTGAAGAAACTGGAGTGTCTTTGGCATTTTGGTGTTTGGGCAGAATTATTAGCTGTTGGCTATGTAGGTATAATATAGTAACTGTCTTATCCTTGCAATATGTTATTTTTCTCTCATTTTTGTGCCTGGCCCTTGGAAGGAAGGGACATGTGCAAGAATTTTCTGGATTGACTTTATTAAACTTCCTTTGTGTATCACTATATTATTTATATGCTCATCAAGAATAAAAATATCACAGCTGGGCATAGAGACATGTTTATTATTTCCCCTTGTCTGCATTGAGCACTGCCTGGGTATTTTGCATAACAACTAGGTGCAGAGCAATAATGCTGTACCAACAAAACATGATCCACATTCAGAACTACACTACGGTAACATTTTCATTTCTTAAATCAGTCATCTTGTGGCCTCTGAGTGAGATTGCAGAGTTTAGCACTAAGTGACAGAGTTTGGAGGTGGTGTAGGTTCCTAATCAGTTGAAACTAGATTCAAACTCTCCACACTCACAAAAGGCCTTTTGCAACTAACAGATAGATGTGAATCCAAATTCCAGACTGAAAGGTCAATTTCTGACTAAGCTACACAAGGGTCTTCTCCATTTTACTCAAGTACTATTTGGTCTAACTTATTCCTCTAATATTCGAACCACACTCTAATTTTGGTGACTTTATCTTTCTCCTGGCTCTCTGCCTCTTTCAACCCTTTTCCACTTAATACAAAGCAATGGTAATTTTAAAATTAGGGTTTTGTATACTTAATGGAATCTGGAGGAATTTTACTTAATCTCAGTCAGGATTAAATGAAAATGTTAACACTGACAGAAAGCTAAAGAAATGTTTTGTTTCACAGGAGTACTTCCATTAGATCAAGTCATTCGTGTCCTTTTAACCACCAGTATGTTTGTTGGTGGATTTTTTGGATTTTTTCTGGATAATACTCTACCAGGTAAGCTTCCTCTCCTTGCCACACTGCTACAGTATTCTTCATATGTATTAGAGGACTTGCTTATTTCTTGTTGTAAATTAGAATTACCAGAAAAACCATTATTAAACTTTTCAACACCATAGATACTGCTAAGATGACTAAATCTGATTATTATGTGACATTCTGACCAGGAGATAGCTGCAAATCTTATTGCATTTACTTTATAAAGGTTGGACCTTTGTAGTTCAGTCCCAATGCTCATGGTTTCAAGAACCAGAAAGCCAGCAGTGAAAAAGTAACAAAGAAAAGCTGGGAATTGGAAAGAAGAAACCAGAGGTAGAGGAACTTTGATTCCATCAGTAACTAAATAACTTGCTGAAAATGCACTGATAACTATCAGTAATGCTGGTAATACCGATCCCCCTCATAACCAACAGTAGTACAAGTCACTGAGTCTATACTAATTGGGAGGAGTAGGTCTGATATCCTACTTTGCTACTGCTACCCACCCATAATGCCAGCCAAAATCTCCTGGCTTTGCACAAAATAACGAGGCTCCCTTATTGATACTACTTTAACAAGCCTCATCTTTTGCTAACTACTGCAACTTAAATTTTAAAATCTCTTGGCTGCTAATAGCAATTCCTGGGAGATCCACACTCCATTTGGTTGATAGCTGAGTCAACCAAGAGGATCGGCAAGCTTACTTACCTTCAGAATGAAGAACAAAAACATACATTTATGTAGTGGCTTGTTTTATTTCTGGGGATGATCCACATTATGATATTATTTACTTTGTGAATTGCACGGTGGATAAACACAGAAGTCACTGGGAGTCATTTCCAGTAGATGAAAAGGCAACTCATATGCAGGCAAAGACAGGAGTCAAAAGTGAATACTGATGTTTTACAGGTACAGAGAAAGAACGTGGGTTAATCGCATGGAAAGAAAATAACTTTGAAGATGATGACAAAGGAGCAAATGAGAGTGGCTGCTACAATTTACCTTTTGGAATTGGCACAAAATGTTGCACTGGAGCCTGGAGAAGATACGTCCCTTTCTGCCCACAGCCAAAACCCCCTGAGAAAAGGGTGGAAGTGAAGACTCAGGAAATTCTTAACGAGACTCTATTTTAACAACATTGGGTAAACTCTGAATAGACCATTCTCACATCAGACTTTGCCAAAAATAGAATAAATATGTTCATTTCATGTTTCTCCGAGACTGATTTTCAATTTCCACTGTAACAAAGATATGCTGGAAAAGATGTTGAGAATATATTGGGGTGAGGGCTAGAGGATCCTTCCTACAAAATTACAAATGGTTATGAGAGAATATTACTGTCATATCTTTGGAAAATATATTATACTTTCATTGAGTTCACTTGTTGTTTCAAGGCATCTTTTTGTTTCAATGTTTAAAATTGATTGCTCCAATGGTTTCCTTCTTGTGACCACTGAGGAATAACACTGAAAAGTCAAACACTCCCATAGTGTCAGGGTAAAACAATTGCACATCAGTGAAAGTACAATTGAGTTGAACACTCAATTTAGAAATAATTCAATGCTATTTACACAACTTTACTGTAAAGACAAGCACTTGTAAGAATTAGATTCAGATCATCTCAAAAACATTTCATTTGTACAACTTAACAGTAGCAAAGAGATTTTCGTTCTATCTGTCCTGAAACTCAAACTGTGGAGATAAATGTCTGCAGTCCTCATGCCATAAAACATACTGCAGAGGACAAAAACCCAGTATAAATGAAAAAGTGAAATGTGGATAGGAAATAATGAAGATATAAAGCTTTTACTCAACTTCTATTATCCAAGCAAAGCAGCTAATTGATGAGTAGTTGGTGAGCCAGGTTTAATAGAAATAGACAAGTCAAATAAACAAAGGCTTGGCAGAGCATTTCGGTCCCTTGGAGTGCACTTCCTCTTTCATGTAGGACATCCGGGATACATCTCATATCTTTGGCAACCATACTTGGAGGTTCTGAAGCTTGAGGAGCAGCTGGTGCTACTGTGTGTAACTACGAGCCTAGGCTTCATGTAAAGCACATTTCTGCAGTTTGAGAAAGTGCAGGTATGGATGGAAAGGGTGACTACCACATAGTTGAGGAGGATCACTCATGGCCTCGGAATGGAATACTGGTGAGAGAGATAGCTCTGACTACACTCCCCAGAGAAGCTATCTGTAATACAATTATCTCATGTCAGCTGTATAGGCACCAGGAGCAAGAATGGTTAGTAATATCAATCAGGGATGCTATAGTTTGCGGAACAGGCAGACATTTCTATAAAGGAAGATGTGAATCCAGATTATTATACTGCATCCTTGGTTTCTGGATCAAAAGATGCCACGGAGCAGCTACAGGGAATTTGGGGAAAAAAGATGGGTGTTCAAGGAGGACAACATTAGTAGTTGTGGTTTTTCCTTACATTCATGTGGATGGTTTGCAAGTGATAATAGGGAAGGTTAAAAGCAATTCAGGGGAATAAGAACCAGGATAAATATTCGGAAGGAAAAAAAAATCAACAGTGAATTGACAGGACTGAGAAAGGCAGACAACATAAGAGAAAATAATAAGGTATTAGGTGAGATTAAAGAATGAGGGAATACATTAATATCTAAATTATGTTTACGGTGCATGTATTTGAATACACAGAGTGTAGTAATGAAGGTTGGTGTGCTGCACGTACAGATGGCCATGCAGGAATAGGATGTTGTCATGAGAATAGAGATCAGGCTCAAAAGGAGGGAGGGATTAAGCATGAAATACTTCTGGATACAGGGTGCTCAGCAAAGATAAGGAAGGAAGAAAAGCAGGAGGGAAGGTAGTAATTAAGGAAGATTAGAATAGTAATAAGATAGGGAAGACAAAGTCAAGAATTGCTGAAATAAAACAAAGCACTGCAGATGCCAAAAATCTGAAACAAAAACAGAAATAGCTGGAGAAACTCAGCAGGTCTGGCAGCATCTGTGGGTCTCTGGACTCAAAACATTGACTCTGCTTTCTCTCCACAGATGCTGCCAGACCTGCTGAGTTTCTCCAGCTATTTCTGTTTTTGTATTGAAGAATTTTTGAAGAGGACATAGGAAAAAATATTCTATATCTGCATTTTTCTGGACCAACGAAGAAGGCATTACTGGATTTGAATCTGCAGAAACGAGATAGGACAAGTTAATCAAGTGGCAGTGGAGGGTCATTTTAAGGGACTATAGTCATAATACTGACAGTTTAAATTAACTGTGAAAAAGGGACAAAGAGCCTATCGGAGTAAAAATACTTCATTGGGAGAGGGCCAGCTTCAATGAGAGGAGAACAAATATGGCCCAGGTACATTGAAACCAAAGATCAGCACAGGCAATAATATCATGGATCAATGAACTGCCTTTAAAGAACAGATGGTTCAGGTACAATTGAGGTAAGGTCCCATAAAGGAAAAAACTGGATAAATGAGAGGTTCTGAATGGTGAAAGAGATAGAAGACAGAAGTGATAAAAGGGTGATATGACACATTCGGTTTATAATACAAGTAAGAGCCAGGTGAATGAAGGAAGTTCAGAGCAGACGTGAAAAAAAGTAAATGAGAGAAGAAAGACAGCAAGTGGCAAGAGACTGGGAGCTAAACAACATGGAATTGTACAGTTTTCTACAAGTATAACATTCATAAAGCACTAGTAAGAACAGTAGGGCTGAATAAGGACCAGAAACTTACACATAGAGGTGGAGGACATCACTAATGTACTGAATGAAGTAATTTGGTAAGATATCCTTTTAGAGACAGAGTCATACAGCATTGAAACAAGCCCTTTGCCCCACCACGTCTATGCTGACGAACAAAGCCAAACTACACTAGTCCCATTTACCTGCACTTGGTCCATTGCTTAGTATTCCCTGGGTTCTTACGTGTTTGTCCAGATGCTTCTTAAATGATGCAAGAGTACCTGCCTTCACTACCCTCTCAGGCAGCATGTTCCATATTTCTATCACCCACTGGGTAGAAATATTTTTCCTCAGATTCCTCCAAACCCACATATTGCTCAGTTTAAACTTTTATGCTCCTTGGTCCTATGCATGTCTGCCATGGAGGAAAAGATTCTCACTATCTACACTATCATAATTTATATATCTCAATCAGATCTCCCCTCAGTCTCCTCTGTTCCAAGAAACAAACACAGCCTATCCAGACTCTCCTCATAACTGAGACTTTTCCATCCCAGGCAGAATCCTGGTGAATCTCCTCTGCACCCTCTCCAGCGTAAACAAGTCCTTCCGATAGCGTGGTGACCGGAAACACACAATATTCTATCTGTGGCTTAAAAAGCTCCATAAAGTTGCAACACAAATTCCCTATGAAGGCAAGCATCTCTGTATGCCTTCTTCACTACCCAGTGCTGATAACTTCAGGGATCTATGGACTTGTACACGAAGTTCCCTGGATGCACTTAAAAAAATCCACTGTCTAATCCTTTCACACTAACACAATCCCTAGCAAAATTGAAATCCCCTACAATCATAACCCTACTCCTCACATACCACTCTAATTTACCTACATAGAGTCATAGTCATACGACATGGAAACAGACCCTTCGGTCCAACCAGATGCATGCCAAACTTAATCCCAAACTAAACTAGTCCCACCAGGCTGCTCCTGGCCCATATCCCTCCAAACCTTTCCCATTCATGTACTTATCCAAATGCCTTTTAAACGTTGCTTAATCTGCCTGCATCCACCACTTCCTCAGGAAGTTCATGCCATGTGAACCACCCTGTGTAAAATATTTGCCCCTCATTTTTTTTTAAAATCTCTATCCTCTCACCTTAAAAATGTGCTCCTTGTCTTAAAATCCCCCATCCTAGGGAAAACACAACTACCATATCTGCTCCTCTATCTCCCTCTGACTATTGGGAGGCCTGTAGTACAAACTCAGCAAAGCAATCACTCCTTTTTTATTTCTAAGTTCTACCCAGATGGTCTCATTTAAGACCCTCCTTGGATGTCCTTCCTCATTACTGCAGTGATGGTTTCCTTTATCAATAATGCTATGTTCCCATCTCTCTTACATCTCCCCTATTGCACCCGAAATTTCTACACCCTGAAATGTTGAGCTGGCAGTCCTGTTCTTCCTTCAACGATGTCTCAGTGATTGAAACAATAAATTCTCACATGCTGATCAATGCTCTAAGTTCATCTGCCTTACCAGTCAAGCTCCTTGCACTAAAATAGATATCATTTAGCTTTCTAGATCTCCCATGTGCCTTATCATGCCCACGTCTTCTCTGCCTATTGACTGTCCTGGCAATCCTTCCATACCTGATGGGACCTTGCTCTTAAATTTACATCTGCTCCGTGCTCCATTTCTCTGCCAGGTTAATTTAAAACCTCCCCGATAGCATTAGCGAACCTCCCAGCAAGGATATTGAGCCCATTCCTGTTCGAGTGTAACCTGTCTAGCTTGTACAGGTTCAAAACTACCCCAGAAGCTGTCCCAATGATCCAAAAATGTAAAACCCTCCCTCCTAAACCATCCCTTTAATCTTGCATTCAACTGACCTATCGTCCTATTCCTACAGTCAACTGCACATGGCACTGGAAGTAATCTGGAGATTACATCCTTAGTAGTTTCTCTCTTTAATCTACTACCTAATTCTCTAAATTCCTGTTGCATGACCTCATTTCTTATTGTACCCAAGTCATTAGTATCAACATGCTGTCTGTTTACCCTTCCAATTCAGAGCATTCTGCAGCTGCTTCTATAAATCTAAATTCAAATGATGGTCCATATCCAGAAAGCTGGCCAAGCACACCATGTCAGAGAGGACAAAGGCAGTGATCAAGTACACCAGCTCCAAGTGAAACACCGTATTGTACTGAAAAAAACCAAAGATCCACCTCAGCTCACCAGACCTGAGCCAGCCCTTTATCTGTACCATGGGCAGCAAACTTGTGTTGGGAGGCTCGATACTGGTAACTTACCATTGTTATTCTGCTTTTCCTTGTGCTATAGATTAAAATATTCAAGTTTTCTCATTCCAAAAACTTGATGGCTGGTTTTGTGACACAGTAAATTTTAACAAATTGATTAAAAGTGCTGTAAAGAATATGGTCTGCAGGTTGTAAATAGCAGCAAAGACAGCACTTCAACCATGCCAAGGCCAACAGTGGTGGATTCAGTGCCAGTCAGTAAGCCACTTAACTTTCACAGATTCAAAATACCCATTCTACAGAAGGCAGGTAGCATTAGACAGACAACCAGACAAAACATCAGGTGCATAACTTTTTCACCTCAGACCCCTTCCAGATTGCTACAGAGGAAATTACCCGTATCATCTAGCTTGCAGTTTACAGTTGAATCACTTTTGTTTTAAGAAC